TCTAACTGCAGGTATTTCTACTCTACTGTGCATTTCAACCCTTCCAGAGGCGAGTGGTTCAAACCAAAAATAAAACTTACACTTGGTCAGAGTGCATCTCAAAATGAAAAAAAAACCTGTTACACCTGAAACAGTTTTTATGAGAGGTTGGACTGGAAAACAGAAATTTCATGATCAGTTCAAGCCTTCTTTTGTTTCCCTTCTAAGTACAAATAAAATTAGACTTCCTTCTAAATCAAATTCCCTCCAAAATATTTCATGCAGTCAAATTTTTCTATAGATGTAACAATTAATTAACCTGAACTACAGATCTGTGACAACAAGGTGGAATATTGCAGCCTCAAGGAAACCTATGGGGTTTTTCAGTTTGTTTTAAAAAATACCTGCCATCAAAAGATATCTCCACTATTTAAAAAAAGAAGAAAAAAAATCAACCAAAATCCAAATCTTATTTGGTCTACAGTATTTTTAACCTCATGCAACAACAGAACTGCCATTCCTGGCTAAACAAGCATCAAGAAGGATATTATTAGAACAGCTTTAAAAATAAAAAGTCGTTGAGTTTAAAACAAAATACATAACAAAACACAAATGGGAATAGTATTAGTGGCTTAAGCAACAACATAAATTAACAACAAAAAAAATACCAGTACTACACATTCTGTACCCAAACACTTTGTGGATATTCACAGAGACAAGAAACAAGCCTCCTAAGACATCAAAACTTTTCAGAAGAAGAAGCCATTACTCTATGAAGCAACTTTTGTGTAATCAAACAAGCTTCCACAGGACAGAGCTGTTAATCCTATTGCCATTTGGGAAAAACATCATAAGCAGAAATCTCTTTAATATCCCAAATAAACTCAGGTATTTCAAGGTTTTGGGTTAACATTCTATCTACCTTGCCACAAAAAAATCATATAAAGGCCTAAGGAAAAAAAGATGAGAGGTTATCAAGCCATCATCTTTTCTACACCTGGATCAACTTTCCCCCATCATTCCTGACATATGTTTGCCTGTGGAGGTGATAATCTATTAATGGGCATTTTATAAATAAGTTAAGAAAGTCTATTTTAATGCTTCCCTGTACATAGCCATAAGGAAAATTATCTCATAGTAACATGAAACCATCTCCTCTGCTACCATTCGAACTCTCTGCTTCTGGCAGTAACAGCCACAAGCTGGTGAATGACTTATTTGGATTCTTTTTTGCAATAGATTTGACAATTTCCATTTCTTTTTTAATCTCAGGGGTTTTTTCAGTCTTTCTTCAAAGCTCTGACCTTCCAGACTTCAGATCACTTATTATGCTTCTCTAGACTCTCCTCAGCTAGACCATGCAGTTCTTGAGGTTGGGACCCAAAGTCAGACAGAGCATTCAGCTACAGCCTTTCCCATGCTATGCAAAACAAAAGAATTCTTTCACTTATCCTTTGAGACACACTACTGCAGAATATTAGCTGCAAAATGCTTTACATCCCACTCAAGTTTAACTTGTCCTCACAGTTAAACAGCATGTCATTCAAAGACTGTGGAGTTATCTCAGTCACTGAACACAAATGTAAGGAAACGTAATTGAGATCGAACATAAAGCAGTGACGTTAAAAAACCACTCACATGGTTTCAACTTTCCAAACTCTTTGAGAACTAGAAACTTTAAAGGAAAGTTGTTCTAATACCCAACACAATAGGTTCCCTAAACACTACTGTAACAAACTAGCCCCAGTTTTACTTGGTGGATCTATATTATTTTATGAGAACCCAAAACTTACTTCATATTGTAAGGTCAGAGGTGCCTTTTCATTCTGTCTTTGTTTGATATATCTTTTCACCCACTCTCTATTTTATTCTTCATCTTAAATCTGTTTCATAGGATTAAGGTTTCTAAATTTATAACTAATATTCATGCAGGATAAATTCCAGCATTGCTGCCTAGAAAATGACCGACCATCCAGCAGCTCAGGCCCTCACTTCACAGCCTTCAAAATAATTTTGGTCTTACAAAGAGCAGTTCAGGGCACAAAGCTCCGAGTACAGAAAATCCCATTTGAATTATTTAATATTGGTGTAAATAATCTCTAGCAACAAGAGCAGAACCTTTCCTCCCAGCTGTCACACACTCCTTACTATATCAACAACCCTGTAATACTCTGAAAACCTTCCATCCAAACAATCTCTTGTCCCATGAATTCATCCTGGGGAAGAAGCCAACCAATGTGCCTCTGGACGCCAGCTCACATCCAGGCCTCCGAGCACCAACAACCAAATGGTGGGTGGAAGAGGGAAATTTCTGCACATCCACTTGCCCCTACTCTTTTCAGATCCTTCTGTCTCCAAGAAGTACCCATTTCCTAGATGTCCATATGAGTGCACAAGCAACTACTCTTGCCAACCTTGAATTGTAATATGGGGGGGGGGGGGGAAGCTTTAGCAATTACTATACTTTTTATTGTACGAATTATTATACTGATTACTAGAAAATTTTCAGTATCGGCACTTCAGCTTCCAAAGCAATTTCTGAAGTCTCAAATTCACTGTTTCATTAAAAACTGGTCATGAGTTGAACAATATGGCTTAAATTTGTTTTTCTAAGGCCCAGAGAATTTATAAGGGACGCTGATGTAGCTGTAACCAACATAGAGCACTCCATTACGACCTCAATATGGAACACCCCCTTTACCAGAGGGCTCCAACTGTGTGTAAGACGACTTCAACATCTGTCAGAAATTATTGCTGTCCACCCCCTTTTAAAACTAGAAACTGAGTGGGGAACTGGGAATCAGGACTGCATTTCCCTAAAGGCTTATAGGAACTGAAACCTTTCCAGGTATCTCCTCAAAATCAGTAAGGTTATGCTCCTTGACAGGTTTCCACAGCAAGGTTACTCCTAAAGCTTAGATTTACCTTGTCTGGAAGGACTGAGACAAAACACTAGAATATGGATTTGTATTAGAGCCATGAGCCAGTCAGAAGCACTACACTATTTTTCTGACTTATGCCACTTTGAATTTGCATTAGTCTGTATGTTGACTTGGTTTAGTATTAAGGATAGTTTCCATTTTAACTGTGTCAGCAATTTTTTGTGCTTGACCTTTATTAAAGGTACAGGTCTAGATGAAGTAATAGGTGTACTTACACAGTAAACAAAACTTAATTACTTACAACTCAAGGAAGAACTAGCTAGCTAAAGAACAAAACCACATCAGAAAATAAAAACTCTAGAACAAGCTCTGCCTTTAGACCTCTGTGTTTCAGTATTTCCAATGTATAAGAAGTTTGCTTTAAAATAACACGAGAATATCCCCACACACTTCCTAAATACTTGCACCCATACTGGCAAAGTCCCAACCTTTCTGGTTGGCAGGTGTTCCCTCTCCTTCACATAGGGAAGGTATTCAGGATGGGGGCAAAAGCAGCCACACTATGTAATTTACCATTTGGAATCAAATCCAATTACAGACACATGCTAAAACATTTTTGAAGTTCAAGTGACTTACAGCAGTTTCACAAACAACCCCCCTTTGGTATGAAAATTGATTTTTTAAAAAATTCCTGCCTCCTGCCACTGCTTTTCCCTCTCTTCTCTTATATTGCAGTTTATCTATCCAGCTCAGCTGTATTGATGTTATTGTTCCAAGGGCCACAATATAAACTAGTTATTGGAGTAACTCCATAGAGATTTGTTTTTTAAGGCAGAAAATAACTGAGAAGTGAAATTCCCTGCACAGCTGCACCACCACAAACCGGGCAACAGAAGTCAACGAGAAGCTTCTTAACCTCACTTTGCTGCTGAAAGTGTTTGTTAAACCCCACTCTTCAGGTATTTCAGTTTCTCAACCAGTTGAGAGTTTCTCCTTACTCAGGGAAGCTGGGACTGGACTCGCATTACTCAAGGCATTTAATCACCCTGCTGGGTGGGTGTAAAATAGATGGTGCTCTGCTCAGTTTTGCCTGCCCTCAGCAAGTAACTCCTTAAGATGAGGGAACCAATCTCACTTCTCCTGAACATCCACAGGGGTGGAATCCTGCCCCCTTTCTCCCTTCTGACCATCGCCCCAGCATGAGCTCTAGTAGTTGTCAAACTTCTCCACTCATTAACTCCACTACGCTATTAATAAATAAAATGGATTATAAAAACTTGTCTTTGGTGAGTTGGGAATCAAACTGGACGCCTCTGAGAGCTGCTGATCAAAGCCAGCTCATTTTCCCTGCTAGAGGCAGAAAGGAGAGGTCACCAGGTGGGCTTGGTCCCTCACGGGGCCACAGGACTGCTCATAGGTGAGAGAGGTCCTGCGCGGTTTGCACAGACATACCGGCGAAAGCTGAGCTGAAATAATCCCCAGCGAGTTCAGAACAAACCGGCAGAGCTCCTGCCGCCTGTATTTCCCTCCAGAGCAGAGCCGGTGCACGGCATCTGGCAGCCTGGTCTGGCTCGGATGCCTACAGTGCCTGAATTTGCAAAGCACCTCGCGTTGTGAGGGCGCAGCGTGTTCCTTCCCCCTTCCGAAAAAACATCTCAGGAGCGTTCGCAACTCACGCTGCAGCCCCGGCAAAACAGGTAGTGCCGCTCGCCCTCCGTGGGATTGGGAAGTTAAGTAATAAGCCCCAAAAACACAGGAAGTATGTAAGAAAGGCACAAACCAGAGGCCTGACATCCTCCGTGCCCCCACAATGCCCCGTCCGCCAATATTTCCTCAGACCCCTTGTGCAAAGCCGGGGCGCGTCTACAGAGGGAACCGAACCCAACCTTGGGGGGTTCGAGATGCATTTCCCGTGTTTCCAAACCCATCGGGGGGAACCGATGGCCAAGCCCCCGTACCAAAGCCCCGCCGGCCGCAGCCCCCGCGGGGGCACCGGGCCGGGGCTCCCCGCGCCCTTCCCAGCGCGGCCCCGCTCCTTCCCCCGCCGGCTCGGGCCGCCCCCGGCACGGCACGGCACGGCACGGCCGGGCCCGGGCCCCGCGGGCGGGCACCGCAGCCGCCGCCGTGCGACTGCCTCACCTCCTCCGGGATGGCCGGGTCCCCGCCGCCGCCCCCCGCGTAGCCGGCGCCCAGCGCGGGCGGGTCGGGCTCCATGTCCCCGTTGAAGAGCGAGGCCCCCTCGGCGCTGCCGCCGCTGCTCAGCGCCGCCATCTTGGGCCGGAGCGCCGGGCCGAGGGCGGGGCCGGGGGCGGCTGCGTCCCCGCCGGGGCGGCCCCAACCGCGACCCGTAGCGCGAGGAGCGGGCGGCGCGCGCGGCCCCGGCCCGCTCCCAGCGCCGCCGCGTCACGGCCCGGCACCGTGACGTCACACACGGCACCGCCGTGCGCCGGCCCGCCTGACGTCACCGGGAAAGCACCGTGACGTCACAGCGCGGCCGCCCCAGGAGCTCGGACGTGGGCGCGCGCCCCGCCCCCCGTCGAGGCCCCGCCCCCCGGTCGAGGCCCCGCCCCCCACAGAGGCCCCGCCCCCCCCTCTGCGCCGCAGCGCCCCCTGGCGGCCTCCGCCGGTCCGGTCCGGTGCCCGGGAGCGGGAATGGGGAGCACCGGGGAAGGGTTGGGACCATTGCAGGGGGCACTGCGGGTCCTTCCCAGCCGCGGCCTTCGCGGCAGCGGGGAAAACCCAGATAAATGAGGGAGAGCGGTGCCGACGGCATTAAACTGAGGAAGGAGTGGGATGCCGGGCATCCCTCGGCGAACAGCGGCGCGGCGGCTTTAGGGTGAATCCTGGGAAACGCGAGCCGCGCTCCCAAAAAGCACGCGTTAACCTGCTGGCTGTAACTCTAGTTAAAACTGAAATAATCGATTGCCAGGATCGATAAAACATCCATATTTTTCCCACTGACAGCACTGGGCCGTGGGCTGCCCGAGCTGGCACCCTGCTCACAAAGGGCGCTCCAAGCGAGGGAAGGGTCGGGTCTGGATAGCAGCAGGAATCGGGACCCCTCGTAACAACTCTCTCCCGTTCTCCGGCTGGCTTTGTCCAGTCTGGAGGTCTGGGAGCAGATCCCTGTGGCCGAGTGTCTATCTCGTCTTCCCTGTGTGTGCATGACCGGACGTGCAGGAATTCCCTTGACAGCCCGGCTTGCCAGGGATAACGGGTGGGCTCACACAGCGGGACCTGCCGTGGCCTCCCGTCCCCTGGTGCGAGTGACAGAGGGACCAAAGCAGTGCTTCGGGAAATGCCGCTCCCTCCAGCTCAGGAGCGAGGAGGAGCTGGACTCGGCTCTTACTGCTGCCTCCAAAGATGCTCCCGCCTTGTCCCCAGTGCCTGTGACCATCTTTCCCCAAAGTGCCACTGGGCTCCCATGTAAAGTAAAACCTGGACCCGTCTCGTATCCTTGTGTGCCACACCCACTGAAATGCTGCTTACACACACATACATAAGGCCTTCGCTAAATCGGGTGTTTTAAGCTGCTGTCGTGCTGAAAAGGTCGTTATTACAGATACCGAAATGGTAGCAGTATTTTAATGCGTTGCAAAGAAAAGCTGCTGTACCAGAACAGCATCGGGACTTCGGAGAGCACAAAGGCTGTTGTAACACAGCCTGATGCATTTTATTGTGGCCAATTACAATATACTAAGTTGAAATACGCAAGCGCAAACATCCTTATCTTCGTTTCGCTTCAGCTGTGAACGTGTAAACACACAGCCTCTTAACGTAATAATCCTGGTGATAGATTTGAGATTTGTATTTCACCTTTCACGCTGGGGCCATCGGCGTGGAAAATTCTTTCAAGTTCAGTTCAATACCGGCAGTGCTGTAACTGGCAAATAAACACAACTTCAATTTACTGTGCAGACACAGGAAAAATACGATGGAGTTGGAATTACCAGACTCTGATGTTACGAGGGAAAGGATCTTCGGGCATGAATTTAGCTGAGGGTCTCTCCTGTAGAGAGCTATGCAGTATTAACCACCACCTGAACACAGAAATAAGCAAAATAATCTGGTTAATATTAGTTAATATTTCAGTGGATTTTAATGGGTCTTCTGACAGGTTACACTTCCCTAAGAGAGGAGCCTGGGGTTTCCTATGACTGGTGGCCTGCGGTGCAGTCAACAAAAGGCTGCACAAGTACATAGACTAAGCAGTTCGCCAAGTTTAGAAATTTCTCTCTAATAGCCACATTAATGAAAAGGATAATTATCAGCAATTCCTGCTATGTGATGGGAATGTGTGATGGCAGTGAAAAATGCACACAGGCCCTGGAAAATAACACCCATGCTGAGGATTAAGCGCTGGGACAAATCTCTCTGATCTCTGAAGGAAAAGGCAACAGAGGTAATAGGAGATGGCTCTCCAGGCACACAGCCTGTTGTGGAAAGGCCAGCAGAGTAATACAGGTTAACTGACAGAGCAAGTCCATTCATTTCCATGAAATTTATACCAAGGGATAATTTAGTCTCAAGGCACACAATGTAGTCATAGCCCTTGTTTTATTCCCCAAGCAATTTATGTCCAGGGCATAGCCCTAGCAGTGGAATTAGTAGATGAGCAATCTTTTAACTTGTAATACCTTTCCCAATGATTTTGTACTCTTGGGTGCCTTCCTTCTGAGCTTCTGATTTTTTTCAGAATATTTTCATCCACATAAAATACTAGACTTTCTTATTACATTTGATGTACCACTGAAGAGCTGGAATTCTAAACCATAATACTGAGAACTGGAAACACAGCACAATTACCACCTGCAATATGTGAGATAAAAAAAGAAACACCTAAAGAACTACTTTAAAAGATTGTTGTGGAGGAAGGAGACAGAAAATCTACTATTTATGCTATCCTTTCCTTTTGACTGGGGGAATCCACACCTAGTAATAAATGGAATTCCCTACTGCTTCACACGGTGGCCATTTGGCTCCCTGCCTAATCCATCATGATGAAAGATAAATCATTGATAACTGGAACTATTTCTTGGCGATATGAAATCCCATCTACTGATAATTGATAGCATGAACATCTTTCACAGAGATCAGCTTTCATTACCAACGTAGGTCAAAATCAAACTTACAGCCTAGATGTGAAAGGGAGGTTTCTGCTATCAAATCTGTGGGCCGCTGGCTGGTTGACTCCTACAATGCAGCACAGCCAGTTTATCTGGTAGTGCAGCAGGTAATGCATAGTTGTAAATGTAAAGCCTGCCACCTCCCATCAAACTCTTGGTTAATGCATTGGGGTTTGATCCTCCTCAGAATTCATTAATTTTAACTTGGGTCAGAAAACAGGTCCAGCTGTTAAACCACAAAGACTCTTCAGCTAGACTGCCCACCACCAGAGCATTTGCCTGATCTAATCAACACCTGCACTTTCAGAGAACAATGTTTGAATGAGGCAGTAAAAAATTTATAGGACTACCTCACTGTGAGCATTTGGACACATCTTTTGTGATCTTTATCTTTCTCTCCCCCTCCCCCCCCCCAAAAAAAAGAATTAAATACTACAAAATATGAATGTCCAAAAGAGATATTAGATGAAACCTCATCTAATTGGTCTCATTTATTATATTCTTTCTATAGAAGACAGTATCTCAAAAAATCCTAGCCTTCCATTTTCTTAATCAAAGACTTACAAAATTTGCATATTGATATGATAATTAGTATGATTTTTTAAAGTGGTGTGAAAACTTGATACACATTGGATATCTGAAGTACCCTTAAAATTTACCCAAGTTTCAAAATACTGCTTAGCCTTTTCACGCACTGAAAAGACAGTATTTGTCCCGTGCTTGGTGGCATTTGTGCTTGGCCCATGTATGTTTGAAAGTGCTGGGTTAAATTCTCAGTCTTAACAGAGGAAATACAAGTCTGCATGATTTGTGAAAACACAGTGTGTAATGACACTGGTCATGTTCCCTGTTACATTGGACAGAAAATGTGAAGCAGAACAAATATTAGGCTGTTGTCCAGAGTTAAATCATTTTCTGATTACTAGTCAGAATAATACACACTTAAGAAAATTACTTCCCTCTCCAGGAAAAGAATGCTGAAGATATTTTTTGAGGAAATAACCCATTTTTTTTTCCTTTCTTTATCACCTATATCTCGCTCAGTTTAAGATGGACTATACATATTTCTGCATTTCTAAGAATCACTTGCTGTCTGATTGATGCAATGTAAGGTAATAGAGAAAACAAGGCTGCTATTTTGTTTTTTAAACTGTTCCTGTACAGATCATATGTATTGTTTCCTTTGTAACTTCCTGAGAACTAGTTCAGGACATTTACCCATCTGTGACTCTGCTAAACCTGAAAAATTCATAAATACTGTGAGAAATTATCTAATATTGTGATGATTTGAGCTTGCAGCTGAACGGTCTCATCTGTATTTTTTTTCAGCTGATGGAGACTTAATAGCTCTTTGCCTTTGAGTTAAATACATGAACAGAAGTGATGAGGTTGGGTAGAAACTACTAATAGAAATAAGGTAGGGAAAAAAGAAAATGTGAATCCTCCAGGTTCTTAATTCAGTTTTCATTCTACCATTAAAAGCAATGTTGATCTAACAAGATTTCTTTTATATATAAATAATAACCTGTTCTAGGATTTCTTGTAATAATATTTGGAATATTTACATAGCTTTTATTTGATTTAAGTGTAATTTCTTTTCGAGTCATTATTTATAAAACTGCTGTTGTTCTCTCCGTAAACCGCAGCCCAAACCTTTAGAAAGTATAAACCAAAACATTTTCCTTTGGAGGCAGGGAGCAGGCGAGGTGATGGCACTGGGATGTGGGAGGGACTTTTCATTTAGGTTGCTTCCATACCGTGCACGTTGTTTGGTGTCACAAGAGCACAGTACTGACCTGTTTCCTTCCTATTCCACCTGAGCAGTGACTTTGGGGTCCAGCAGAGTATTTGCTGTGCCACAGTGCTCTGCCTCTCCCTCTGCTCCTTCCTGCCTTCGCTCCCATACTCGCGTGGAAAGCTGAGCAAGCCAACGTTTCATGGAACAGCAGCGTAAATACCAACAGATGTGGCACAAAAGGGGCCATCAGGAGAAAGCACGAGCCCCAAAACCACTACTAAAGGGAAGCAGCAGCCAGTGGAAAAGGAGGGGCAAGGATGGGGTAAAAGATTAGATGGAGGGAGAATTCAATAGAAGTAGATGCTGGAGAAGAAGGTGCAGCTCTCCTAGGAAACGAGAAGCAGATGAAAATAGGGAAACAAAGGATTAAGAAACACTGGTTTTCCTGCCTGACATACTTAACTAAAACCAGGACCAAATCTCATGTTTGAGAAGATTAGTCAAGACCCTTCTGTTTCTGTAGCATCCCTGGTCATTGCCTTAACACATTCAGCTTGTTCGGATATCTGATTTCTGAGTCTTTGTGTTGGATAGTGATAAGCTGATCAGCTTTAAGGACTAAACAGTTTTAGACTCCTCACATTATTATTCCAGCGTGAATAATCACATTTTATAACTCAAAACCATTCCATTCAAGCATTAAAAACCCCCACTAATGTGATTGAGTGTGTTCCAAGAAAGGGCAGGAAAGGATACCACCTCAATCATTTTGCTGTTCAGAAAATGACTGTTCAATTATGTTTCACTCTTGAGATTTTTCTTCATAATATCCAGGGTAGGTGAGCGTCTCCTGGCCTGAATACCTGCTGTAATTTGATTCTCCAGCACTTTACAGACATGTTGGTGACTATCTACATCTCTGATCTAATAGAAGTGTAGATAGTAACTGCACCTTGCAGTTTCTAGCCTCTTCTCTGAGCAGAAAAAGTCCATTAGGGTTGGTATTGCCCTGGAGTAAGGAAACTTTAAGAGTCCAAAAAAGCTAAATCAATAGTAGGAATCAAATACAGAAACTGCAGCTTTGACATGGAAGAGAGAGAACATGGTGACCTATCATGGTTTTTCAGGGCAATACCCCACATAGCTGGATTTTTAAGAGTTACTGTTCTTCAGTGATAGATTAAATAGTATGGGTAACCTTTTCAAATGAATTCTTATATTGTAATATGCATAGGCACATCTTATGTATTTAAACATAAGTGCCTTGTAATGACAGAGTCAGTGTCACAGTTCATAATCCTTCCTTGTCTTTTAACCCTCCTTACCACCAAGACAACACAAGCCTCACAGACATTTAGTCTCTCCCATAAAGGCAAGCTGCCTGCCAAGCAAGTAGGAATTAGGAGAGTCTCCCAACCCTGTTGCTATGTTCTCATCGTTCCTGGGAATATGCACTTGGCCAAAGGCAAGATTTCTGGTGCAGTGGTCAATGGCCTCTCAGTGTTTCTGATGCTGTGGATTGCTTGCAGCTTGCAGATACGCTGAAGGCCCTTGGATGTGGGTATTCCTTTTTGATATAATGAGACTTCTCTCTGCAGAAGATACATTCATTTTGGTAAATGAACACAATTTCTGTTACCCCCCTCTGGGGGAATTCTACATGACTCCAGCTCAGATCTTCGTTTTATCTTATTTTTAAGTGGTTTGCATGCCTAGTCAGTACCCTACTATCTGTCCTCAGAGGGCAATAATGTTTATTAATAAACTTGAAGATGCTATCAAACAACTTGAGTCTGAAAATACAGAGACATAACACACTGTTGGCTGTACTGGTGTCAGGCAACAGAGCAATATTTTGGCAAACATCATGGCATATAAGCAAAATCAATGCAAAAGCAGAAAAATAAAGAGGCCGCAGCGTTACTTTCCAGTTGTCAGTAACAACTCTGATTCTGTAGCCTAATTTTTACTTTCTGGTTTATGCTGTTCATTCAAAAAACGTTTGTGAAGTTCAGAGCTTGTGAGCGACACTTACCTGCACATCACTTGCACCAAACAGACCCAGGACAAACAGGCAAACAACACCATGTGCTGCCTCACACACAGGCTGTGCTCCAATTGCCTCCCATCCACCCTAGAAATGTTGCCTGGCTGGGTGATATCTGCACTGCCTCGCTCAGGGGTTTCTCTCCTATATAAATGTGCCAGCTGGAACAAACCAGCTGAGACCACTTGAGGCTGGAGCCTCCACTTAAATGTTCCTGTGCCTACAAACTAAACACAGCACTAAGTGACATCAGCTGAAATGTAAGTCATACCTCATTTACTTAAATAAAAAAAAAACCAACAGCATAAATTCTGACATTTTAGAAATAATAAAAAAAAAAAAATTACAATAACATTTTCAGTTAGCTAGCCAGTTCACTACTGAATGCAATCCCCCCACACCTTCCAGACCACCTGACATTGCCTGTTGCTTCTCCAGAAATATTCTGAGCAGCAGCATGATGCTGCCTGTCACACACACAGGTTCCTTTGCAGGAGAAATTGGAACAGTAACACCTTGTCCATAGTGGTTGCTGGTTGTAAATAAGGCAGCATCACCCAGGGGCCAGCACAGCCCACCCCAGCTGTGCTGCTCCACTCTCTCAGAGGATGAGGCACTCCTTAAGCCACTTGAAGCTCTCTGCAGAAACCAATGCATGGCACCCAGACAGACTTACATTATTCTAATCAACACTGAATATCACTGGGGAACAGCTCCTGCATACACAGAAAAATGACAGAGTCTCTGGAGAGATGCTGTTTCATCAGCCCTGCCCTGAAGAGACCGCTGTCAAAGGCTAAAGGGGACTCTGTATGCTGGCATAGGATTTAACTACCTGTTATGCAGAGGTAAATCCCATTGATACAGTTGGAGATATTCAGTATTCACACAGCTTCTGGACCACTTCTGGAGATGTATAAATCTGGAATCACATTTTAGACATCTGCTTTTGAAAGGTGGGGGTCAAGTGATGCCATTCACTTTTATTCAGGTAAGACTGTAGTGGAAATTGAGGAATGGGATGCATTTACAATTATATGTTTGCAGCAACACACCACTGCGTGTGGCAGTAGGATGGCTTTTAGACTTTCTGGACCTCAGGTGGTTTCTGCTCCTAATACCATTAAAAGCCTATTTACTGAAGCAGCCCACGAGGCAAACATCAGACCCACAGAAACAACAACTGAAGTGGGAGAGACCCTCTGCACTCTATGAAATATTCACAAACAGCTTTAGGAGCCCTGGGATGAAGTGAAGTACTTTCAAGCATAGACAGAAAACCTAATGGATATAAAAATCCTTTTTTAGGTCTTGTTGAGATTTGTTTTCACAGACTTAGCTATGATATGAGAAAATGTATTAGGTCATCCAGTCTGCCTCCTCCTCTTCCAGGAGAGAAGTGGTCCCAGCGCTACTTTTTATAACATTTGGCTCAGCCTAGTTCTGCCTGACTCAGACAACATAAGCCAAACCCACTTTTTGGGAATCCTCTAATTTTTTATAAATATTTGACTTTGTGGAATTTCCCCCAGTATTCCACCCAGAACAATTCAGCACAGCGATGTCACAATTGTTATCCTGTTGATTTCATACTTACCGCCTTAGGCAATCCTAAATAATTTCTCAGCCAGTGTGGTGGTGATGTCCCTCTAATATCAGTCATGCTCCTCCCCATTTGAACACATTATAGCTGTGCTCTGCTGTGACTGAGACTTCACAAGCAAATCCTTTCAGATGTTTTCCTGTCTGTTCCTTCCTCTCTGTAGTCAAGACATTATTATTTTTACACTTGAGAAAAACGACAAGGAAAAGAAAGGAGAAAGATGTTGAATGGAAAGGCAAAAATGGGTTTTTTTTGTGCTCCCCCAGCTGTGCAGGCACAAAAAGATTCATCCTAAATGGATGGCCCACACATAATTTAAGTTTTACTTCTAGGATTTATGATGAGGGTATTGTTTTCATTTTTGCTTACACTTCCACGCCTCATAAATCCTTTTAAAAAAATTATTATTAGAACATCTTGAGTTTTCCATTGTGGTTTGGATAGTTAAGAAAAATGATGCTGCACCTAGAAGAGGTTAAACAGGAAAAGTTTCTGCTCTCACACATCTCAATATCAAGATAATGAACAGAGAACTCCCTCTGAATGATTTTGTTTCCAGGATCTACTACCAAGGATTGTACAAAAAGTGCCACAATCATTTACAGAGGCATTTCACTGAGTTTAAGGGATCAATCTAAGATCCTCATAACATTTGTTTTCTTTGCATATTATCCTTTCTGCTTCATTCCCTCATCAAAGCTGCCTTTCAGATTTGTGAAGCTTTTCCAAAACACAGAGACTTCATTGATTACTGTTTTTTAAAATTACCCTAAAATGGACTTCAAACTCAAAGTGGTAGAGGAACATGTACAGACACTTTAACATTTAAAAAATATTTACCGTTTAAGAAGTATCAGATATTTCTTTAATTTTTTTAACTTTCACAATCTGACCAAATCATTTTTTTTTTTCAGCATTTGAAGTCTCTAACATGTAAAGCAGAACAGCAAAACCAGTAACATATCACAGCTTATCTTATGTATTAAAAATGTCATCATTGTTGCGTACAATCATCCCTCTGAAATAAAGCTTTGAAATACACAGAACCACAGCCAGACTAAGCTGCTCTTTACACAAGGTTCTCCTGGGGTAAATTCCCACCCTGGAAGCAGCTTAAATTCATGACGCTATTCACTGAGTGATCATTATTCTAATTTTACTCTTAGGGAAACAAAGGCAAGTAAGACAAAGCATTCGTCTAAAACCAAAGAGTAACTCAGGTGCATTTCATATGACCTGTGTAAACTTGGAATGTTGTTTCAATAAGTAGAAAAAACTCTTTCCACATTAGGGGAAACTTCTTTGAAGTTGTCACTTTTCTGAGCAGAGCACATATATTTTAATACACTGGTACCTTTGGCAGAAAGCAAGACTGTGGGTTTTTTACCTTCCATCATTATGAAGTGTGGCCACATGCAAGTGAACTTCTGCCTGTCTGCAGGACTTTCAATACTAAGAGGTTCTGGCAATAGCTGCATTCCCTATAGGATATATACAGCAACTGGGTCAGCCTGTTTACAAAACAGCTTGTGATCATCACAGCAGCGCTCAGCAGCTATGAATATATCATACCAGAGTCTAATTAAAGCACTGCAAAATAAGGAAGCAGTGGCACTTAATAAAGGTGCTCAGGACTGGGAGGAGGCTGGGGTTTTTACTCTCAGTACTTTGCAGGTCAGCTAACCAGGTTTATTCTGATCAAGAATTAAAACATCCAGCTAAATGTCTGCTGAAGACAGTCAGCTCATAACCTTGGGAAAAGTGTGAATTTTGTAACAAGACACAGCAGTTTGAATGGTGAAAAGAATTGTTGTAAGGGGAAAGCCAAAAATAAAAATCTAATTGAACTTGGTTATTTGTGCATAAAATGGATAGGCCGCTATACCAATAGCCGTACAAAGTATAAGTGTTCCTATCCTTGCCCTTCAGAACATGGCTGGAACTCTACTTTCTCTCCTAAATACACATACTGTGTTAATACTTGGTTAATCTCTGGTGTGATGTTTCAGGATTGACTCAAAATTTGTCTAGACTCTGATTTTGATGCCTAAAAATTAGTCTTCATCAGGCAATGTCTATTCCTAAATGACAGAGTATAGGTTAGAAAGGAGGTAGGAAAGTGCCTATTTCTATCCCAGCTCTGGAGAGGAGAAGGCTGTATTTTCTGGAACAAAATAGTTATGCTAATGCTCCCAGCAAGCAATGGATTATCCTAATACCAGGATATACTCCAATAATGGCTGAGTCATTGTTATTTTATGGTGAAGTTTCAGGCGAAGGAAGACAGCCATTTTTGAGACAACCAAATTCTAGCAGATGAGTATTACAGAAAAAAGAGATGAAAAATTAGGCAGGGGAACCTCCCTTGTACTTTAAACTGCTCTTCCAGAAAGGCTGTGGGTTTTTTTTTAACTCCATCCACTTTGCTTTTTTGAAGCTGCAAAGAAAAGATGAAAATCAACAATCCAGTCCATTTGTTTCACATCTGCTTACTTCACAGGCATTTTCTCTGCCTTTTTGCATATGCTGTGGGAAATAACTTCCCAAAGTATGTTCCCAGAGCAATGCTTTGACTCTAGAGCAGGCTTGCTCTGGCAGGTTGCAGAGAAAGTGGGATCATTACAGCTGAGTAGCCAAGCAAGCCGTTCCCTTTCCTGTTCATGATATCTGTAAATAGCTGCGTGGCTTGAAGTAAATAAGGAAGAAGAGATTCACCTCCCAAGCCTAATTATCTAATACTGCACTGCTGAGTCCATGTCTGTGTCCAGCAAGGTGACACACTAAGGT